CTTTACCTCACCTCACATTGCTTCTTCCTCTGAATCTTCGTCCTTCTCACCCTGTTCTTCATTTTGAGATGAACTACCATCCTCATTCAAAATAATTACATTTAATTATTATATTAGAATTATTTATAATCACATTTTTTTACGGCATCATGAGTGTCATACCAAGTTTCATCTAGATAACAAATTGGTCTATTTTCCCTTCTAAGTTCTTTTATCTCTTCTATATATAAATTCCGCCAATCCACTACTCGTCTACTTTCCATAATTGCCATGCGTTTATTAATAGTTTGATATTTAAATCCAATGTTTTTTAGCAAAGTTCGTAAAGTTCTTTGGTATATTTTAGATGGTAATCTGTTTCTTTTAATTTTCTGTCTACCACGTCAATAGTTGGGATTTCATTTTTCTGATACGCATCGTAAACTAAAGTTCTTAAAAGTTTTGCTAACAGTGGGTCCAGAGTTTTTATTGACCGGCGTCGGATCTTTGTTTTCTTAGGATGGCACCTTCTTTCACCAGTTTGTGTATTGTGGGAGGGGGAACTTTAGTCAGAGATGCTGTTTCAACCAGTGCATTCAAATCATATAAATTAGGGTCATTAACTCGTCGCTTCAAAACAATATTGTAAATATTAAAGCAAATTTGTTTCGCTTGCTCGTTTAAATGTAACCGATTTTTTTTTAATTTTTTTTTTAACATAAAAAAATTTTTTTTAAAGATATTTAAAGGTGTAAATAAAACATAAAACATTCTAAGACAAACTTTTTATTTAAAATTAAGAAAAAAAATATGTTCTCAAAAGGGTACAGTATGCTTATAAGGTTCGATTACTACTCGTAAGAAGAGCCAAGAAGAAACTTACGAGAGATCAGTCTACATTATAAGAAAATATAAATGGAGAATCATAAACAATAAAAAAGTGTGCATATTGCACCCTGTCTGAAAATAAATACTAAATCTCGACCTCTATTGAACCACCAGTAGCAATATGATTGGTTTCTAAAATAAAAACGCTTTTTATATTATAAATAAAATGCTATTAAAATTTAAAATACCTGCAGTATATCATCGTCCAATTTCGAATTAAGGCCTGTCAATTGTGTTCCAATTATTTCATGGATATTTATCAAACATAGTAATAATATCTTCGAATAATTCACTTAAACGCCATTAGGTACAACTGGGCCTTAGTCCGAGTCAAATTCGGACGAAGAAGAGTCATCCCCCACATAAATAAACAAGATCGGGAGTTCACATCCCACCATGTCTGCTTTGTAAATAATTGACTTACTTGTTAACCAAGCTTGTATATTCGCTTTCTTCGTATCAGCATTCGTAATCTTCCCCATTTTTCAGCTATGATAGGAAGTCTTGTCTATCACAACCACAGAATGTTGATCCAAACGTCCCAAAATGTGAGTGAATCAGTTTTCGAAAACCTCACCAGTCATTGCTTCATGGTAATCTCTAGTTTTCTTTGATTCGAAGCATAGTAAACCATCCTCATCGAAACCGTCCTCGGATCCTATATGGAGGACTATAAGACAACTTCCTTTGCCCGTCGTTAAACTTTGGATGAAAGCCTGCCTTAAGGTCAAGATTGTTGTGTCCTTCCATATTTTATTTACAGTGTGGCCGGGGTTCACCCACGTTTCATCTAAGAAGTACAATTTCCTGCCTCCTTCCCGGTATTTCCTGATCTCTCGTAGGAAACGTAGGGGCGATGATCATATTCTTTTCCCTAAAGACACTATTGCGTGACTTTTTTTGCAAACATATAATGCCAAACACAATAATTACATTACAACATGTAGAAATCAAAACTTGGTTAACTCACCGAAAGCCAATTTCTGTTATCCATGTCCACAAAGTACTTCGTTTTAATCGAGGTTTAAACTATAATAAATATAAACAATCTAAAAATACCTTTAGATTAAAAATATACTTCGATGCACGGATGAGCAACGTCATAAAAATTAAAAATTAAAATTACCTGACGCTTTTGCAACAAATTCGACGTCTTCTACCCTAGGTTTATCCGGGTTCTTTCCAGTCTTATAAATATTCAAAACATGTTGTTTGTCTTCAACCGAAAAATGCCTGGAAGTTCGTTTTTTCGGTGGAGAAATAGCCGCTTGAGCCATAATTGGTATTAATCCCTGAAAGATATAATCAATATTAATCGTTTTCATTACGTACCTTAATATAAATAAAGATGTTTGTTTAACGCTGAAAGCACTATTTATTAGGTAAATGTGAATAACAGCATATAGAAACAACGAATTGCAACAAATAATCTCCACAAAAGACCAAAACGTATTTGACAGTCATGAAGCTATCAAGTTAAGATTATCTTGTGATATGGAATTTAAAAATACGACCAATAGAAAAATTCTATTCGAATTTGGCGCAATATATGGGGCGGGGCATAATTCTATATGTTCATTAAACGAAGTATAGGTGAAACAGCATCTTTGACTAACGTTCCTCGTCCCACAATACATAAACTGGTGAAAGAAGGTGCCCTCCCAAGAAAATAACGATCCGACGCAGGAAAAATTAAATCCCAACTATTGACGTGGCAGACAGAAAATTAAATGAAATGGATTATCATCTAAAATATACCAAAAGAACTTTAGGAACTTGGCTTAGAAAAATTGGATTTAAATATCAAACTATTAATAAACGCATGGCGATTATGAAAAGCAGACAAATAGTGGATTGGCGAAATTTATATCTAGACGAGATAAAAGAACTTAGAAGGGAAAATAGACCAGTTTATTACCTAGAAGAAACTTGGTATGATCCTCATGGCACCGTACAAAAAGGAGGGACATGGATCTAGAAAATGTCAACCAACCTCATTGCCCCCTAATAAAGGGACTCGCTTGATTATATTACTCTGTGGATGGGTTGATGATGCATTGAAACTGTGCGGAAGATTGGAGGACTGTAACGTGGATTACCACAAGAACATGGAGGGAGAAATATTTGAGGAATGGTTTGAAATTACCCTAATTCCAAAATTAAAACCAAATAGCATTATTGTTCTTGACAATGCGAAGTACCATTCGAGACAACTGTATAAAATTCCTAACAAGAGTTCTACTAAGCTGAAGTTACAAATTTCTTTAGTGGAACATGATCTCTATTTTGAGGAAAATTATAATAAAACACAACTGTTGGAAGTCCTATAACCGAAAAATTATGAGAAGTACATTATAAATAATATAGCGGAGAAATATGACCACAAAGTGTTGAGATTACCGTCATATTTCTGTATTTTCAACCCAATTTAATTAATTTGGTGTAAATTGAAGAAAAATGTTAGAAAAGGAAATATTTTTTCCGAAAATCGATAAAAAAATCGTAGAGTTAATTCAAAATGAAGTGTCGAAAATTAACAAAGAGGATTGGGAAAATGCATTACGAAGGTAATTACAATTGAGGATGATTATTTAAATATTGCAAAATTTCATAAATAGTGGAAATAAATGTATTATAAGTTTGAACGAGGATAGTAGTTCATCTGAAAATGAAGAAAAGGGTGAGAAGGGTGAGGATTGAGAGGAAGAAGCCATGTGAGGTGAGGTAAATTGAAGGGATGTGAAGAAGTGAATTTTGTGATATCAACTGCATTATTTATTTTCGATTTTGTGATTTCGTAGTTCAGTGCTTGAGAAACATTATTTTTCAGGATGTTATTATTTATTAATGTTATTATTCTTTCTTTCATTTTGACAAAAATATGTCTCTGTTTTTATTATAGTAATAACTTTACCATCAGAATTTATTTTTTAGTTTATTTATTGAGAAAAATATTTGTTTCTGTTACTATTTTGAGAGTATATTTTTTGTTTTTTAAAGGTTTCTTGTTACATTTTAAGTAATTTCTTTATCAATACTAATATTCCATACCCATCCTTTCCTGGCAAGAAATGCTCATATCCCATATGTTTCTTTCACTTTGACAAAAATATGTCTCTGTTTTTATTATAGTAATAACTTTACTATCAGAATTTATTTTTAGTTTATTTATTGAAAAAAATATTTGTTTCTGTTACTATTTTGAGAGTAAATTTTTTGTTTTTAAAGGTTTCTTGTTACTTTTTAATTTATTTATTCAATACTAATATTCCATACCCATCGTTTCCTGGCAAGAAATGCTCATACCCCCTCGCGGTTCTTTCTGGGTAGTAACAATTTATTGTTGGAAAATTTTTTTGGGAGGGTCCTTATTTTGAGAAAAACTACTTTTTTTAACTTGCCGACGTTTCGGTAATTTTTTATTACTATCTTCAGGGTAATTAATTATGAGTTTTTCCTGGTCACCATAAAATGTATATAAAACAGGAAACAAACAGATAAAATCGTTGGGTATTAAGAAATCTTCTTTAGTGTACTTATGTAACATATATACACATATATATATCACTGTACAATTATCAGACTGTAGTGTGTAATGGTAATGACACGAATTATGATAATATTCGTGTCATTACCATTACACACTACAGTCTGATAATTGTACATTCATAAGTGATATATATATATGTGTATATATGTTACATAAGTACACTAAAGAAGATTTCTTAATACCCAACGATTTTATCTGTTTGTTTCCTGTTTTATATATATTTTATGGTGACCAGGAAAAACTCATAATTAATTGCCCTGAAGATGGTAATAAAAATTACCGAAACGTCGGCAAGTTAAAAAAAGTAGTTTTTCTCAAAATAAGGACCCTTACCCAAAAAAAATTTTCCAACAATTAATAAGTCGGTCTAAAAACTTTTCTATTACAGTAACAATTTATATTGAGCGAACTTGAATACTGTAACTGCTGTATATGTAGTCAATACTTTAAATTTAATACTTTTATTTCAAGTTAATACTTTTTTGTACAATTGTTAAATTGTCGCTAGCCAAACTGAGCATAAAAACCTACATTGAAAAAGTAAACGAGCGACCAAAACAGTTAAATCCTCTGCGTTCCGTAGCTCTTCAACCGGGAATCGAACCCGGAACTCGTCCAATTTCAATTTAAAGTCTTTATTTCCTATTATTGTATAATATCTAATTAAAACTATTTAAGTATCTCATTTATGGGTGAGAGGCAAGGGTCCTTACCACTCAACCATGAAGCCACAAATATGTTTGTTGGACATAATTTAACGGAATTACTGTAGAGTGATAAAAGTGTATTTTTGGAAATCCGTTATAATGTTGATCATAAAGAGCAATTAATTATGCTGACAAGATTTTTATGACCCATAATGAAGCGCCTAGAACAGCAAAAAAGAACGAAAGCTCGAATAGAAACGGTATCGAAGCAGATCGTTATTAGAAATTAGTAAATTGGTTTCAGTGGTCGTTTAAGATAAAAGAACTTTCAAAATTTATTTTTTTTAATGGCACATCTTTAAACTAGATTCCTAATCAAACTTTTTTGCTTTTCAACATTTGATTGGTGAATCTGAATAAATTTATTTAGATTCACCAATCAAATGTTTTAAATGTAAGACGAAAAAAGTCTGATTGGGAACCGAGCTTTAGGTTTGCCATTTTTATAATTAACTGGATTGTCTGAGACTGTGAATCGGAGGCGCATTTCGAATCCCTGAACCAGTCAAGACTAAAAGGATCGTGAGAAAATTTAATGATTTTCCTTTCCTGCTTCCTATAAAAAGTGAAACATTTGTGTTTTCTTTTACAAACGAAGGTATTTTCTAGTCGTTTATTGATGCTCGCTAGCCTACAAAGAATTGAATTCGACATTTTCTTTTAACCATGCAATTACACCGCCTCGAGAATAATACATTGCTTGTATTTTGTTTAAAATTAAGCATGTTATTTTTTCGAAACTTTTCTTTCGTAAAAAAAACAAGTGAACATAAATAACATTATTTTGACGTTATGTATGGAGTTTTTACTTCACGTTAAAAAATTTCCACAAAACGTAAAATATAAAATAAGTTCGTAAATGTTACTGAAATAATCAGCCGTTAAAGAAAGTTGACGTTTTGTTTCTAAGGTTGCTACCCACTTTTAAGAATATATAGACAAATACATGTTGTTCTCACAACAACATTAAGCAGAATATTACTTTATGGTAGATCGCAATCTATGATAGTTCATGTTCATATTCACAAATACCAAATCAGAGTTCTACTAATAATTAGGTATATTACAGCCTATTGAAACAACATTGTGCAGTTTTCCGTCTAGCTCTAATACGAGAACTACACCTCCCAAGTGAGGCTGCGTTTCAAAAAATCGATTTACGTGCAAGAAATCCAGATCCGAATCCCATAGAATATTTATATGGTATGGAACATACCCTGAAGATGTATGAGATCTCTTAACTATATAAGCTTAATGAAGAACTCAAAATTAATTTAAATGAATTTGTTCTTTAATAATTTAAATTTGTCGTGTAAAAACATGTAATATCGTTTTTTAAAATCAATAAATTTCAATTTCATTTCTGCAACCTTGAGGGTTTAGGGCACAACAAAATAAGAACTTTTAAACTAGGTAAGAAAAAATTGCTTATATTATATTAACATGATATTTATTTTGACGTAACCTCATAAAAATTAAGGAAAAAGCATTTCTATTTTTTTTTTCTTCATTGAGCCTCCTACTTACATAGTCTAAAAATGTTACTATTTCTTTTTTTTGTATCATTTCCAACCCATTACCAATGTTTGCGGCCTCTTTTTAAGTTCATGTTCTAAAATCTAAAAGATTGATTTTTTTGAAGCTCAGTTTAAAATTTTTTAAAATTTCGCCAGCTTCAAATAAATCTCATAACGTAATATAACTTTTGTGTTTTGTTACACTTTTTATTTTATGTTAAGCACGAACGTCAAATAAATACACTAGAATTGCTCTTTCAGTTGTTTTATTATATCATCACATCATAAATCAGACACATTAGACAAATTAAAAGACCTTATGGGTATTTTTTTAAAATTGCCTACCCTTTGTTTAATACGGAAGGAAGTTGGTATGTTTTAATATTCTTGACTGTCCCTAAAAATAATAGCAAGCATAATTATGTTATTGTTTTTATGGTTTAAAAAGTTTTCAATTTTTGAGTATGTTTTAAGTTTTTGTTTCAAATAAAAGCCATATCATTCTGATACTATAATATATATATATTATTGGTTGATTTAAATATTCTTACTGTAAAATAACCATAACTGTGTTTTAAACTATTGTATTAATTGTAGTTCTCTGATAATGGTTTAATAAACCGAAACGTTAGAAAAAAAATACGTGTATATCTGACCGAAAATCTCCAAAAAACACGATCAAATATTATTTACTATAATGCGGTTTTAACATATAACAAGTTAAATTTTTTAAATTGATTGTATCGTAAAAAATTCTTTCCTTATTTTTACGACGTCAAGTTTGTGGAAAGTTTCCGAAGGTTTTGAAAACTATATTGTAGTTTCCTAAACATTTCGAAATTTTAAGAAAGTTTCCGAAAATTTGATAGGAAATTTGTTGTTTTCTGTGCGAATTTAACATTTGGGTAATTTAACTTAGAGTGTTTGTAACTCAGCAACTTTTATCTAATTTAAAACAATATTTCTTTAACATATCGTGACAAGTTTTATTAGTTTCTCAATTTTCGTTTACAGTTGATAACATGAAATCAACAATAGCAATTTTCTGTGATTGATACTGAATTTAAAAAGATTATTAGGAAGACTGTATTGGAATTTTCCAGCGTAATACTTTTACTTTAAAAGCCTCTTTGGTCTGATTTCTTTTAATAGGCATTTTTATTTCCGTCTTCAGTTGATTAAGTACATAGGCGTATCAGGTTCTCTTTTATTCTCTTTTATATTTGATTCACGCAGCTCTGGTAATTCAGTAGAATAAACTAATATAATTTTTCCAAATTAAGTACAGCCGATCAATAACTTTTAACTGAAGTTTCTGATCGATTATAATTTGATTAGGATAAGATTTATGCATCCAAAACAATTTGGTGGTAATTATGCGTATATCTCGGATAAGAACTAAAATGTATATTTTTTTAGCGATTACCTCTCTAAATTATTGAGCGTCAATGTTTTAAGGAAATTCTTGTTCGTAACAGATGGTCGTATTTTTTTTTCAATACGTAGCAACGAAATAGATTAAGAATCAATGTGGATGAACTACCGACACCAGTTAGATGCTAGCGAATGTTGTAGTTGGTGGTTCATCCTTAAAAGATACAGTAAATTGTGTAAATATCTTGCTACTTTTTAAAAATACAAAATATCTATTAGTTACTTTGAGAAATATACTTTTTCAAGGAATAAAAACTATTAGAAATAAAGTATTTTTCTAAGATATTTCAAACTCTGTTAATACAGGGTGTTTCCAAATTATTGCAAACTATTTTAAGGCGCGATTCTACTACTTATTTTAAGACGAACTTTTTCTGAAGTTTGATATGATTTTTATAATGTTTTAGACATATATTTTGGTTATTTATCTTTTACTGCGGCACCAGTGGCACACGTATGGATATTGAAGTTCAACTTTTGTTTAAAAAAAAAAGAACATGCAACCCCTCAGATTCCCTCAAATTTGAAATTTTTTGGAATAATCATTATAATCTACACCAAAATTGTCTTGCTTTTTTTGTTGTACAAGCCGTTCTTGATAAAAATGTGAAAGAAATAAAACCTAAATTAAAATTGATTTTTTTAATGTTTGAAAATTTCTGAATTAGGAAAAGAATTGTTTAAAAAACCCAAACAAATCAAAGTAATTGTTGAAAATGACCATCCTCAGCGTCCATTCTCCTTCTCATCGATTGCCGCACACGCTCAAAAATCCCTGTAGTATTCAGGATGCGGTTCCGTAGGTCCTCAATATTTTCAATCGGTCTGTAGAGCTCGGAATGTAGGTATTGTTGATAAAGCCAGGATTGGCTGTAGGTTATGTGTCAGCACATAAATATGCTAATGCATCTGTGACACAATATATCTTACTTTGTAATTTTTTTTAGCGAATTTCGTAATATTCAAAATTGATATATTTATTATAAACACTCACTCGAAGAGGATTGAAGGTATTGGAGGATGTAACACTAAACTAAATCACGCACGCACGCACACACACCCACACGCGCGCACACACTACCACACGCGCGCACACACACAAATACTTTTCACTTCCAGTTCCTACAAGAATGAAAGTATGTTATTAATATATGTTCTAATTGTTTTGGATTTAAACTAGTACGTATTGGGTCACTTTAATTTTTTTCTGTATCCACCCATTTTGACCGTAAGAGCCTCTGTCGGCATACATTAAAAGAAGTCGCCGGCCAGGTGTCAATTGGCTGCCTCCAGATATGAACGACCGTGGGCGTACCTACCTGTACCAGCCCCAGTGGCACCCGTATTAGGGCCCCCGTCTATGATCCCTCACACTAGAGATCCTGGCCTTAGTATGACTTGTTTAAGTATAAGTTTGCTGAGTCATTCTGTCTATAAACAAAACTTAGGAACAAGAAGGGCATTAGTTATGTGGTTGTAACAGTACCACTGAGTAGCTCTTAACAAGGAACCAATCAAATATCTTTCCATTTAGATATCTCCAGCCGTTCACAAGTTGTAAGGAAAATATAGTGTAACATTACCCCCAAATTTGGCTAGTGTAAAAATATAACTTTTTTTGTTTTTTGTCATGCGTTTTCCGATAAAACTAGTTTGCGTTTTACGATTTTAAAATGAAATAAAGTTTACTTTATCATTTTATATAAATTTCTGTTTTTCTGTTGTTTGAGAATGTTTCAGCAGGTGTTTACAATATAATATTATTTCTGCATAAAAGCCGTCACTGGAAACCGATACTTCCGTCCGAGCTCTAATAATTATTAAAATATGTCTTAAGGTATCCCTACAAAAAATACTCCAGCGGATTCATTTCTGGAGAACGTGCGGGCCAAAGTTGGGGTTCTGCTCTACATATCCAACGATTAGGATACACAGCATCCAAATGTTGTCGGGCAGTTACGCTAACATGTGCCTGAGCCCTGTTGTGCATGTACCACATTTGGTTTCTATCTTGCTCTAGTACATTTTCCAGCAGCAAAGGTAGATTAGATTGTCTTCAATAAAACGT